GTGTGAGCGTCTCCTGGTGTGAGCTTCCTGAACTCTTGGGAGCAGCAGTGTGTTTAAGAGAATGGAAGAGAATTCACGTGCCCACAGGGCTTTGCCAGGTACAGGCCATTTTATGGGGCCAGGGCCCCTTTGAGAAGACCTATCTTACACTGACAGACCAAGAGAGATGACAAGAGGACAGTGAGCCCTGAGGGAGGTAGTGGCCAATGTGGAGACACAGACACATCCCTCAAAACACTGCTCAAGGTAAGAGGAAACACTGAAACATGAAGAAACAGCCTCAGCCCAGCCGACCATGTATCACACGGACCAGCCTTATCTTACTGGAGACCACCCTGCCCCTCAGTTACAACTGCCCAGCAGGCTCCCTGGGAGCCAGGGCTGTGGAGGCATGTGTAAGGACAGCAAAAGTATTCTGTGTGAAAAGTAGCACCCTCAGATCACTCCTTCCATGGTGCATTTCTCCCAGCTCCTGCTGAGGGACTGGCAGATGGCATCTTCAGGCTGGGCAGCCCCAGCTCCCAGTGCAGGGGAAGCATCCGAGACACATGCCCACACCTAAGTACTTGGCACCCTAGGGATTAGTGCTATCCTTGTTGCAACCTGGGGCCATCGTTACCATCTTTAGAGATAGGAAACCTACACAGGAAATGAAGCCTCCTACTCTCAAGAGAGAGAGAGAGAGAAGAGAAACTATAGCAATGCTAAACAAAGCTGCCTGTGGGCACAGACTCCATTCCTAGTTAGAGAAACGGAGGAGCAGGGAAGCAAGCCAGCCACAGAGCCCAGGTTCTCAGGCTCATGCAGCAGGCTGTCCACCACCCGAGTCAGGCATGCTGCCGTAATATACATATACATGTGTACAAATACATGCATGTCACAGAACACATATGTAGACATGCAAGGATGTGCACTGACGCAACCCCGGGCTTTGCCCAGCCTGCCAGTTCTCAGGCATAATCACGGCACCCGTGTTGTCCTGACCATGGTGGAGGTGACATCAGCTGCTCCTACCATGGGCTTGACACTCTAACCTAGAGACAAGTAACACCACACAAGGGCTTCTTTGTGCATGCTGAGGCTGCGGGGCTTCACTAATAATAGGAGCTGAAAGTGATTTATTTCCCTGGATTAAAGGTCAGCTCAGCAAAGCAACAGTGCAAAGTTCTATTACCTCATTCCTGTTGCCCTGAGCAAGGCAGGGGAAGGAGGGGGAAAGGCAGAAAATGAGGAGGGGTGGGCAGAGACCTGCAGACCGAATGAGAGGGAGAGACAGATAAAGGGAAGAGGAGAGAGGGCCTGAGGGGAGGAGTGAGGCAAGTACAGTCCTCTGTAGGTGACTGTGGTCAGGCCAGACATCTTCCAACAGTTCAGTGAACCAAAAGACATCCATCTTTGCTAAGATTTAGATGGGAAGCTGTAGGGTGAAGCTTTTTCTATAGGTGACATGCCCAACACCAGGTCTGAATGTGAGAAATGGAAGCGTTCTGCTGTTGAAAGGCTTGGATCCATTCACTCTGGTCAGAGGCAAACACACAAACGTGACCACACATCCTGTTGCTCTAAAGGACACAGTGCATTTCAGACACCTGAGTGTGGTACACAGCTGCCTTGGGTGGTGTGTATTTATGTCTCTACCAGCAAGTGCTGTAGGCCATGGCACCTCACAGCATCCTCTGGATGCTGCACACAGTGGACTGTGACTGCCATGCTGTGGGCAGGGCCCCAAGCTTCTTGGCAGGGGTTCTCAGATGATGCTCCAACAGAGGACATGCTCGAGGAGGCTGTTTGTGTGCTGAGCTCCAGGGCCTGCACAGCAGCGATCAGTGGTCACAACAGGCACCTTGTGTGAACCACATTTGAGGATAGCATTGCAATAAGCACCAGGGCCCAGGGACCCACCAGTCTTTTCCACGCTGTAGGACACAGGACCCGTGAAGTCACATGGCATGCCCTCCTGCCTCCCAGGGATGGGGTGTCTGATATCAAGCAGAAGAGCATGTGGAGAATTTCATGGGTGGCGTGGCTGCTGGTGGGCTGTACTTGGAGCTAGGACATCATGATATAGAAAGAACACGAAGATCACCACCTTAGGATCCTTTTAACCGTACAGTGGTGTGTGAGTGACAGATGCTCAGTAGAAACCCTCCCCTGGCAGTTTCCCAGGCTGCTCATGAATGACAGGGTCCTCTCTAATGTTGTAAAGGTGAACTACAGCACACGGTCAGCTGTGACACCCAGGGACCACTGGAACTCTTCAATGTGCTGTGCTTTGTGGAAGGCTGGTTGTAACCCTATGCTTCCAATAGGACACAGCCTTGTCATAATATCTATACTTGGCCTCTGCCCAGACTCCAGGCCCTGAACCCTCTAGAATGGTGGCAATGGTGGTAGGGCATCTTCTGTTGTCCACAAGAAATTCATGCTGGGGATGCCACTCCTCTGAGGTTGGTCATAGAGGTTCCTGCCATGAGTTCTGCTCACCTGACCCCAGGGTCAGTACTGGAGGTGGCCATGATCACCAGTTCTAACAGTAAGTTCTTTAGCTGTGCCCACACAGTGAATCAGGCCAGGAAGCTCAAGCCAGGCTCTCAAGCTTTAGGACTAATGACTCAGGGGAACCAGAGAGACCATGTATCTTCCCTTTGGCCTTTCCCAAGTGTATACTTCACAACGAACAGACTCACAACAAATGTCCCCGGAGTTCTGTGAGCTGATCTACATGCCATTTGGCTGAACATGGCATGGGAACCCCAGCTTATAGCCAGACTGGACAGAGGGTATGGATCACCTAAGACTTGCTGCTTGTGATGGCAGCTGTTTGATGTGGGGCTGTGTCTCCAGATGCGGTGAGGTTGAGACTATGGCCTCTCAGAGTTCAAGGGCCACAGTTTAACCCATCCATTAGCGTTGATTCTACAAGGCCTGGCCTGGCGCTGGCGCTGGCGCTGGCTTGCCTCACAGGCACAGCTGCTCCCTCTCTGCCTGTCCATGTCCCTGCAGGGATGAGATGGAGGATCTGCCCTTGGTATGTTTTTGACTGAATCCAGCTAGGCCTTTCTTTCCCAGCCTACACTTCTGCCTATGAACTGTAGTACCAAAAACACAGGTGCAGATACCCACATAGGCGGTCAGCACAAATGAAGTAAGTTCTAACCACACAGTTGGCCTCCTGTTCAGTTGGATGCCAACTATGGAGTCTGAGGAAACACAGCTCTGAGACAAGGCACTGTGTGGTAGCCCCTGGGGAGAGACTACTCCATCCTATCGGGAGGGCCTTCTCCCATTACCCCCTCACATCACTGTCCAGGTCAGTTGGGTCTGGTCCGTTCCAAGGCCAGTCATCCCCAGGGTTAGCCTAGGTGCCAGTAGCCCCCTTCTTAATGCTGGGGATTTGACAGGCACCCTCTGTCTCTCCTCAAGCACACTGTGCCAGGCCTAGGCCAATCCTTAACCAGTGAGAATTGGATTTTGGGCAATTTCCAGCATCTCTAGCTGGCTAGTAGCATACTCTGTCCATTGGCCACACTTGGACAGAACACCAGCCTGTCAATCTGACCCATAAGGCAAAGGGACTGCCTTCCTCCACCTGGCCAATCAGAGTCCAAATCAGCTCAGAAACCTCACTGGTCTGAGTGTAGCAGTGGCCAGGGGGCTTTTTATGGATGTGAAGAGTCTCTGCCTCACAAGTGCTTGGCCAGGCCCTGGGGACAGGGAACCTGAGATGCTTCAGCTCTTGAGTGGGCCTGGGTTTATACTGAGATGCAGGATGTATGTATGAAAGCACAGGCTCCTGTGTGTGGTTGCTCTGCAGAAAGGCCTCACGTGGCTGTGTGTCAAACAGACATTGATGTATCAGTTCCCCGTGAACCCTGCATCCAGATAGTTCCTGGACTTGCCAGTGCTGACAGGTGACCTGTGACATAGCACTGACACCCACCATGCTGTGTGGGTGTGACGCCATCTTACTAATCTGCTGCTACCTGAGGGACAGGGGCAGCCCAGGCGTCATTGACCGGCCCTGAGCTCTCTCCTCTGTGCCATGGCCTATATGTGGAAATAGCCTCATTGCGTACGACCAGCCACTCATCCTAATGGATGCTCTCCTGTCACCGCAAGGCCGCATGCTTTCTCTCTAGCACTTGCAGAAGTTGGCAACCCCACCATAGGAAGGAGAAGATTGTGGGGTCCCTAGTCAAGTAGAGACAGAATTTCTGGGCTAGATGGGGGTGATGGCATGGGGACTCTCAAGACCTTAAAAAGTAAAGTCTAGACATCCTGGTTAACCACAAGCAGACAGTGCATCCCTGCAGCTGACTGATAGAGATGAGCACACCAGAGGAACAGCTGCACTGGCTAGTGTTTTTAGTGCTTAGAGGACTTAAGTGTCTAGACTCCGTATAAAACATGACAAAGGCAGTGACTGGTACCCACAGCTCTCAATGGGGAGAAGGCAGGAACTAACTGCTAGTCTCTAGCAGTGGGCAGTGTGGGCTGGGGCAGGGAGAAGAAAGCAGTGTGAGACTCATGAAGGATTTCCAGTTCTCCTGGTTTAGGGTGATGGACAGATGGACAGCACCACGACATCAGACGTTCCTTGGATTAATTTGCAGGATGAAGCTTTCTCTGACCTCATCTCCAACACAAGCACATGAATATCTGCAAGGGCAGGCTGTTTGGAGGGACAGAGACCTGGGCCAAGGATCCGTGTTACTCTGGTGGCCTGGGATAACTGTCTTTGGGACAGTGGAGTAGCCTCACCCTACACTTGCAGGAGAGAGAGAGAGAGAGAGAGCCGGAGCTGCAGCTCCCAGGATGGGGCCTAGTCTGGCCTAGAGGGAGGCCTGGGCAGAAAAAGGGGACAGATAACCGGAAGAACCAGCCCAGAATAGAAGACACTATAAACTACCTGGTGACCTGTCCCTGCCCCAGAGAATGGAAGGGAGAAGGAACTTCTGAGAGCAGTGCACAGCTTCAGCCACAGCCAGGTCTGTGCTCACCTCATAGTGGAAGTCCATGCAGGTTAGGTCCAGCCAGCACTTGTCCCCACGGATCTTGATTAGGCCCTGCAGACACAAGACAGAGGACAGCATCAGTCACGGGCTGGCGGTTGAGACACAAGGACCCCCAAATGGATTTACTCCTGGGGATGAGAACTGACCTATCCCTAAAGGCTAGGTTGCTGTGCTTCAAAGAATAAGGAAGGGGCCTATTTCTGTGGGATGTACTCCAAGACGTAAAAAAACAAAGAGCATTATGATAAGCACACACAGGCTCCTTCTGGGAACTAAACGCTGACATGCTCACAGCTGGGATGGCACCCTCTGTACAGTCAGAGCCTACGTTATTTGAGATGGCACACTGGGGATGGAACCCAGGGCCTTGCCCATTTTAGGCAATCCCTAAACAGTACCCATGGACCATTCTGTACTTTCTTTAAAACCTTTCTTTAGGGAGCTAGGAAGATAGATCACTTAGTAAAGCGCTTGCTGGACAAGCACTAGGACCCAAGCTCAATGCTCAGAAGCCACATAAAAAGCTGGCCAATGGTGGTACACATTTGTAATCCCAATGTTGGGGAGGCAGAGTAGACAGATGCTGGCCGGCCAGGCTGGCCTACTCAGTGAGCTTCACGCCAATGAGGGATCCTGTCTCAAAGGAGGTAGATAGCATTCCTGAGGATGACACTCAAGGTTGTCCTATGGCCTCCACCTGCAACCTCACGTACACATATGTACCTGCATGCATGCATGCATGCATACACACACACACACACACACACACACACACACACACACACACACACACACACACACACACACAAAAGAAAAAAGAAAAGAAAAAGAAGCAAAGGGGTTGAGGAGCTGGCTTGGTGAGTAAAGTGCTTACATTGCAAACATTAGGATCTGAAATTGGAACCTGAACATCCACATAAAGAATCTAGATGCGGTGGTGCTCATCTGTCCATCTGTAATGGCAACTCACTGGCTAGCTAAGCTAATGGGTGAGTTCCAGGTTCAGTAAGAGACAGTGTCTCAGATAACTAAGGTGTATGTAGTGTGATACAAAATACCCCATATCAATCAGCAAACATAGGAGTCCCCCTAATCCCCCACAATGCACCCTCAACACACACCTGTACACACCCCCACACAAACAATGAGACTATCACAATAGTGCAGGTGTCTTTAATGAAGGAACCGAATCCAAAGGTTCAGATCTCACACTGCAGATACCCAGGACATCATCAAGGAAGAGCTGTCAGCACCCCAAAAGGTTCAAAGGGCTCAGTGAGGGGTGGAAATGTGTTTCCACATCCACGTGGCTGCTCCTGCCGATGAGTGGTGCTGATGAGAAGCCCAGGCTCAGGCTGGCAGGGTCTCCTCATGAGTGGAGCGTGCCCAGAGCTGAGGGTTGGGCACCAGAGGGGGGAAGTTTGCAGAGGAGCTTCTGTGAGTCAGATGGGACCTTAGGTAGAGCAGCTGAGAGTGGGAGCAGCACCCAGAAGTTGGTCCTCATGGCTCTGCCTCAGCCACCTCCATATTCCGCCTACATGTATTACCTAGCCTGTCTACCTTCTCTCAGGCAAAGCTAGGATCAGGTGACTTGCTCCTAAATCAGGAGCAACTATCCATGAAAGAACTAAAACCCTAGCTTGACATACAGAGATTCAACTCCATTTCTGTCATTTCCATACTAGCTGAGAAAGAAGGTGAGGAAACAGTCTCAGAGAAAACAACTCAGCCTTCTGAGATGTAGTACCTGTAGATACAACTGTCCCTGGAGAGTTCCTTTGGCTCCATCCACCACCATCCATCTGTCTACCCATCATACATTTATAAGCCATCTACCCATCTATCCATTATTCATTTATATACCATCCATCCACCATTGCCATCCATCAACCATTTATCCACTATCCATCCATCTAACACATCATCCATCTGCCCAGACACCATTATTTATTCTTCATCCACTCACTTATCTATCATTTAATCATCTATCTTCCACCTGCTCATTATCTACTGATCCACCCATCTAGCCACTCAACCATGACCTCTCCATCAACTATCTGTGGTGATATATTGTTTATGATCTAATAACACTTGCCCGGAGATCAGAATGCAAAGTTAACCGCAGCCATAGAGGCTAGACAGCGGTGGTACACACCTTTAATCCCAGCAGCCGTATTAGTTATTCATAGAAGTTGAGCAGCGGTGGGGCACACCTTTAATACCAGCAGTAGAGAGGCATATAAGACAGGAGCAGGATCTCAGAGCTGGCACTCGGCCTTAGGAATGAGTCCCCAGCCACGTTGAGAACGGGATCTCCCCAGCCTTATAGAGGTGAGAACTCTCTGGTGGCCTGGCCGTTTTGCTTTTCTGATCTTCAGCTTGAACCCCAATATCTGTCTCTGGGTTTATATTATTCATGCTGTATCTATCCACACATCATTTACCCAATCACCCACCCATCAACTACCAGTCCATTATCCATCTATTCACTGGTCCATCCACCATCAATCTACTGTAAGCTCACAGACCTGGACTGAGTGCTAAGGAGGTCTGGGTGGGCACAGAAGAAGGCACGTCTTAGTGGGGGAAGGGGAAGAGGCAGGCCCCTCAGAAGAAAGGCCAAAAGGGGGGTCTTAAGTTGCTATGACAAAGTGGCACAGGTAAGTGAAGTATAAAAAAACAGAAATTTGGGCTGGAGAGATGGCTCAGAGGTTAAGAGCACTGGCTGCTCTTCCAGAGGTCCTGGGTTCAATTCCCAGAACCCACACAGCAGTTAACAACTGTCTGTAACTCCAAGATCTAACACCTCATACAGCCACAATGCAGGCAAACACTAGTGCACGTAAGATAAAAATAAAGAAAGAAAAGAGAAATTTATTTCTTTGTCTGGAGATTGAAAATCCAAAGTGAAGGGGCATGGTTGGCTCTATAAAGGGCCCACTTCAGAGTTGTAGACAACTGGCCTCCTGTGACAGCCTCAGAGGGTGGAGAGATGGTGAAGGACTTCTCTGGGGACTCTTATCAGGGCACTCACAGCGTTCACAATGGTGTCCTCCACAGAGAGATCAGGAGATATGAGCCCTCTGCTCACATCATCTCACTAGGGATCAGGACTTGAGGCTGCAAGTGGGTGATGGAGTAACAGAGACAGCCCTGGGAGAGGGTGTGCTGGCTGGTGTGGGGTTGTGTGGAAGAGAGACGTGTCTAGTCCTAGACACACTCACAGAGGGAGCTCAGGAGACAGGCTAAGTGGTAGATCTGATATGAAAGCTGAAAGGGGCTGTGGCCACATAGAGATGAGCCTCCTTAAGAATAGTGTTCAAGTTGGGCAGTGGTGGCACACGCCTTTAATTGCAGCACTCGGGAGGCAGAGGCAGGTGGATTTCTTTGAGTTTGAGGCCAGCCTGGTCTATAGAGTGAGTTCCAGGACAGCTAGGGCTGTTACACAGAAAACCCCTGTCTCAAAAAACAAACAAACAAAAAACAAAAACCAACAAAGCAAAACAAACAAAAAGAATAGTGTTCAAATGTAGCCACTGACACCCAGGAGATGGGTGAGCTTAATTCAGTACCTAAGGGAACATGTGAGAACTCACACCAGGGTCACATGTGACACTACCTAATGGGTGCCTACTTGTGAAGTCTGGTTTTAGAGGGAGCACTCTGTTCAGAAGCAATGTCTCCAGGGAGTCACAGGCCCCACAGGGCTCTCAGCAATCCTGACGCCACAGGGGAGCTGGGTGCACTGCTGGGAGCTGAACTGTGCACTGCCTCCCGGGAGCACTCTATTTAAAGACTGCATGGAAGAGTTACTCTGACAACCAAGTTACCTCTTGGGAAACAAAAACACTCAGACTGTAAGCTCTGGGGGTGGCATCCCCAGCGGAAGCCCCCTCCTATACAGCCGTGGTCACATGAACACGGTGCTGCTGGGTAGGTCTGTCAGTCTGTCTGGTGTCTGAACACTCCCAGCTCCGCAAGGCTCTGTCCTGTGTGTCCATCAAGTGGAGCCAGTGGCAGCTGACAAAACACACTGTGTAGGGAAGTGAGCGCCACCATCAGGGCTAGCCTTGACGTCCAGGGGCAGCACAACACTCTGCATCCCCCAGAACCTGAGAAAGAGGGACTCTTTAGAGACTCACACCAGGAAAAGAAGAAAAAAACAAAATAATTAAAATGTCACTCAAACTCAAAGCTGAGATGAGACACTTAGAAACCTGAGGCATTCTTCAGGAGAGGAGGGCGTTCGAGCTCCTCCCATCCACTCGCTCCTGCTGCAGATGTCAGCCTTCCCACGGGTCTTTCTTTCAGAGTGTCAGAGGAACAAAGCCTTCTTTGAGCCTTTTTCAGCCCAAAATTAATTTAGGAAAAAAATGGCACAGACGGGCCTTAGCATGCCAGACCTAAAGGGAGCCGAGTGACCTTCAGTCTCCTATGACCCCCTTGCTTTCAGCCTGGGAAGGAGAACACCAAGAAGCTGGAATGTTCCTGGCAGATGGAAGATACCTTGGCCTCACTGTGAGACTCCTGATCGCAATTCTGCTTCGTAAAAACTCCTGCTTGGCAATGGAGAAACCACCATACCAGAAGAGCCACAGCACGATGCTGCCTTGGATGCCTATCCCTCCTGCTTGGTGTAAGAAGCCGGTGGCCTGAAGTCCCTCTGTATTGCCTCAAGGGCTTAATGGGCCTAGAGCTATATTGGCATCTCAAAGGCAACTAGGCATGGGGCACTGGGCATCTGGTGGGACCACACCTTACCTGCCAGAGAGAGCTGAATTTCTGATGGGGAATATCCATGAGCTCTGCAAGCTGTGTTGAGGGTACACATCACATGTCAGCATTGGCGTGACTGTGCCCATCCAACCTCAGGCCCCCTGTGTCATGTGATATAAGCACAGGCTCTATGGCTTCTCTAGACTCACTTGTCTCCAGACATGGAGGCCACAGCCCACAGTCCCCATCCTTGTGGAGTGGTACCTACCTTTCCTAACTTGGCCCAGTTGCACTCATGGATACAGTGGGTTATTGAATGAGGCCCTGCAGGCCTC